AATAAAGAAGACTGTAGAATAATTGAATTGATGCTTTTGAGTTATGGTTTTGGAGTAGAATATTGAACGAGCCATGCGCTGCCAAAAGAACAAAGAGATCTGTGCTTCAAGAAGTGCAGCCAGAGAGCTCCTTGGAGGTCAGGATGGCCAAACTTTGTCTCTCATACTTTGGATATATTGTCAGGGGGACCAGTCATTGGAGAAGGAAGTCATGTTTGGTAAGGTGGAGGGTCAGAGAAAAATAAGAAGACCCCCAGTGAGATGGACTGGCAAAGTGGCAACAATTTTGAGGTTGGCCCAGGACCAGGCAGTGCTTCATTCTGTTGTACATAGAGTCGCTATGAGTTGGTACTGACTTGATGGCACCTAACAACAACTGTTGCACCATGCAAAATCTACATTTTCATTTAATGAATTGTATCCAACATCAGCAGTTCGAGATTACCAGCCATTCTATGGGAAAAAGATGAGGCTTTCTGCTCCCATAAAGATTTACAGCCTTGGAAACCCTATACAGGATTGCTGTGAGTTGGAACTGGCTCCACAGTACACAAGCACCACCACCGCTGTCCTACCACACACATCTTGTTTGCCAAGTTTGGACAGTAATCTTTGGAGAAAGTGAATTGGTGTTTTTTCTCTTCCAAGATATAATTTTTAATTCTTGACTTCCTTTTTTCAGTGGTGATATCATCACCTATATTTTCCGTCTTACTCACGTTTAAAACCTGTTCTGCCCCTGAATCTTAAGTCACTGAGTCTCATTGACTTCCCCGTTTGAAATCCTTCTCATATCACTTCATTCTCTAATCTTACTTTCACACAATTTTTGGCATCTCACACTGAAACTTAAATGATCAATAAACATGCATTAAAAAATAAAATATCAGAATAAAGTCTTGCTTATCTGTTCATGTAAGCCTAGAGACACAAATATAAGCATTATTAGTGGATACTAAAACTGTACCCTCCTGTTTAAAAAACATGGGTATTTTCTGTGATGATTTTATGGTTTTTAAAGGTTGATTTTGACTTTGAGTTCTTCCTTAGGATGAAATGCAGCCCTATGCCAGTTATACAGTGAAGAGCAACCCACTCTATGATACTACAAACAAGGTGAAGACAAATGCAAGCAGCAGTGATGGATCTCCATATCTTATGAGTTATCAACATCTAGGACCAGGACAAATAAATCAAGAGACAGTATAATTACTGCACTCAGTTTGCAACAATTCTAGAATGGAAGACTTATTTTGAAATTAGAGTTTTTCAAAGGTTCCGGAAGACAAAGTCTCTAATGAATGTGCATTCATATCCTTAAGCAATTGGAACTTTCCAGTCTTAGCTGCTCACTCACAGTTACTTCTCTGAAAAACCAATGTTGTTTTCACAAAGAAAGCATATGCTTATGATAAATATGGAAATAGAATAGTAGAGTAAATAATAAACATTTATTTTCCTCAAGTATTCCCCATGTG